ATTGCTGCACCCCCGGCAGCTTCTGCTGAAATCAGTGGGTATAACAAGCCCCCCCGAGCTGTCAGATGACCAAAATTTATCCCTGGGATCTCTCCACACCACAACAGCCATAGAAATGAAGAGGTCATGGCTGAACCAGCCTGAGAGCGGACTGTTTTCTCCCGGTGGCTTTCCCCTCGCCATCCCAGGTGACGGGGCTGGTGGTTTCTGGCTCGTGGTGTTTCCTCCAGGTGAATCTCCCCAGTCCTGCAGGAGGATAACTCATCTTCCTTTTACGAGGGGATACCTTGGCTTCCTGCCTTTATCAACAGAGCAGCTCGTAGGCAGCAATCCAAAGGCAATTTGATGCGGTTTCAAATGCACGCTGTACACGGATGAACTGTAAATGCCTGCAGCATGTTTCTTTCCCCATTTCAAAGAGCGCTATCGATTGCTCCATGCACTGATGAAGCATGCCTGTACCTGACTAAGCTCTTCGTTGATTATCTGGCAACGCAGGAGTCTCTTTCTTGGACTGGAAGATGAGCAGTACCTTCATTTCTCCTATCTTTTAGCAGAGCTATTGGCCAAGTGGCTTGTTAGCCTATGAATGCTTCATGCTGCTCCATAAGGGAGTTTTTAACTGGTAGGAATGGATTGCATCTCATCTGCAAAGCAATTGCAGAGCCAGTAAGGGAGAATTTGGGGCAGTGCTGTGAGGAGGGAAGAGGCAATAGATATTGTGCAAATACCTAAGCTGAGCTTTGTGTACTGCATTTCAGCTGCGTAATGTTTCGGGCTTGCTGCTGGTTGGAGCCACGGATGTTGCAGTGGGAGTCACTGTGTCTGCCCACTTCTGGCGATCATTTTTGAGGCTGATCGGGAAGGGAATTCCCACGTCAAAAGGGGTTTGAGCAGCCGCATATCAAAGCTCAGTGTTGGCTTTGATTCTTCTGTCAGTTAGAATCATAGAATCATAGAATCGTTAAGGTTGGAAAAGACCTTTAAGATCATCAAGTCCAACCGTCAACCCAACACCACCATGCCCACTAAACCATGTCCCTAAGCGCCTCATCTACAGGTCTTTTAAATACTTCCAGGGATGGGGACTCCACCACTTCCCTGGGCAGCCTGTTCCAAGGCTTGACCACTCTTTCAGTAAAGAAATTTTTCCTCATGTCCAGTCTAAACCTCCCTTGGCGCAACTTGAGGCCATTTCCTCTCGTCCTATCGCTAGTTAAACTAGGACTTTGGAGATTGCCCTCTTGCTTTTCTTCAGGTGGCCCAGCAGGAGCCCATGAAGGTCTTAAGAGTCCTCAGAAAGCCAAATCTCACACTGATGTGTCTTTGGACCTGCCAGGGTCTGATCCATCTGCCACTGGAGCCAACAGAATGCCATGAAGAACTGAGCTGGGCTTTCAAAGGAGAAGTTATAAGAAGTTATATCTTATAAGAAAGGTGGTGGCAAACTTTTTAGCAGAGCCTGTTGCGACAGGACAAGGGGGAATGGTTTTAAACAAAAAGAGGGTAGATTGAGACTAGATATAAGGAAGAAATGTTTTACGATGAGGGTGGTGAAACACTGGCAGAGGTTGCCCAGAGAGGTGGTAGATGCCCCATCCCTGGAAACATTCAAGGTCAGGTTGGACGGGGCTCCGAGCAACCTGATCTAGTTGAAGATGTCCCTGCCCACGGCAGGGGGGTTGGACTAGATGGCCTTTAAAGGTCCCTTCCAACCCAAACCTTTCTATGATTCTAAGTTAGGAGGTGCTTTCCCTGTTGAGACACCAAGTGGGAATAGCCACTGGGTGGGATTTCAGAGAAGAAATACCAGTAGACTGAGCTGACACTAACGCAGGTACTTCCCTGTACATGAGACATTTAACATTTGGATTTTCGCTTTTTGAGTTTCCAAAGAGCTCCCCACTGCTGTAATTTCCCCTGGTAATAAAACATTTCAGTGCCTTCCAACTGCAGCTTCATGAAAAAAAAGTGGTATTTAGTTTAGGAGGGACTGCAGAAGGGAGCAAGCTATGGTCTGTCTGCAGAGAACCAGAGGGGATCAGCCTTGATGTCATTAGGAAAGGGATGTCTGCAGAAAGGAGCTCTACCCCCTGCGTCCCCTCTGCATACATATGTGTTTTCTCAAGAAACAGTGGAATGGGCTGGGACCAGGGCTCATCTTACCGATTTTCTGTTGTTTCTATAGAATAATGGACCTCGGAGGACTACATGTTAGCCTTTAGCAATGCTTTGGTTGCAGGCTTTTTGGCCAGAGTCCCAATTTCTGCTCTCTATTTGCAGGAGGTCTGGGAGTTACCGCCAGACAAGTCGTATCAGTGATCAGGACAATATTTTTGCAACGCTTTTTCCCCTTTGCACTTCTTTTGCACATTGGCAAGTAGTCCTTGGTCGGTCTCCTGGGAAGGAGAGCAGGGCCAAGAAGACCACGCTGAAAAGGGAGAGAAACTGCTGCCAAGGGGTGGGTGAGGGGAGATGAAGTATGAACTTCTAGGAAATGGTCCTGGGAAGGTGCAAGGGCTGTGGGGAAGGCACCTCAGCCAGATCAAAGGGTGTGTGGGAAAGGTGATACTGCAATGAAGTTAATAAAGTGCTTTTAAACAGCAGTGGGAAAGGTGAGAATAGAGACCAAGGGGGCTGAGGTGGGGATAAGAACACACGTTTAAAGGGCTTTTTTTTTTTTTTTTTTTTTGTTAAATAA